CCCTGAACATTAGCTCACAAATGAAGAGCTACAGTTCTCCGAAATGACAAAAGACATGGAAATAAGGGGCATTGAATGCAGCTTTCCCTGACCTTGGTGCCAATTTGCAATAAAATGTAATTATGGGAATCCAATGCGTTTCTAATGGACAATACTTTTAGTACTTTCATTTCATGACTACACTCTCATCTGAAGAAGTTACTGTAAGTCATTACTGAAGTCTGGCCACTGCTGATTCAGTTCCAGCACTCCAACATAATTACACATTTTGGAGAGCGCCAGGAAATGGCTGGGCTGCCCTGGTGTTTTCATTTTTTAAATTTTACAAAAAATTCCATCTTGAAGTTCAGAAAGTAAATTGACAAATGTAATTGTTTTTTGAGCCTTTCCAAATAATTTCCAGAAATTAATCTTTCAAAAGGAAATCTCAGATAAGCAATCTACAGAGTGTAGTGTTTTTTTTCCCCTGGTCGTATTTTAATATTATTTTCTCCAATAATACAATGTAAAACTGAAAAAAGTCTGAAATTGGAGCCTTATTTACCCGCATTCAGAGTATTGCTGGCGTGTCCAAATTGTACTTGTTTTTTTTTTCTATTTATAAAAAATTGATTTGTGTATTTAGTTGACAAGGATTTTGATAAATCTTGTTATACAAAAACACCTGAGTACAATACATAATTTATCACATGGCTTCATAGCATCATGACTGCAGCTGTTTCTTTTACCTTCATCTTCCGATCTAAATGCTGCTTTTAGCTTTTTGTATCTGAGGAGGTATATTGATGTCCTGCTGCATCGAATATAGCTGGAGTTGCCTGTTTTGGTTTTGGCGGATATCAATGTTTTTTTACCTTTAATTGTTCTTTTTTTTACTTTCAGCACTATCTTTGCAACAATAAAGAATAATCCTACAATAATCCTTGTATTTGATATAGCATCTTTCATGTAATCATAGAATTTTACAACACAAAAGGAGGCCATTCGGCCTATCGTGCTTGTGCCGGTTCTTTGGAAGAGTTACCCAATCAGTCCCACTCCCCCGCTCTTTCCCCATACGCCTTTTTGTGTGGGAAGATGTCTCAAAATTCCTCACTGTGAAGTATTTTTGTTGGCAAACAACTACATTTTGTATCATGTTGCTCAAAGTGATAAAAAAAACTAATCCTTGAAATACAATTTTCTGCAATTTACAGAAAATTGGAAAACCTGACTAATACTGATTTCTACCCATTAAAATAAAATCAGAAATGATCAGGTGAAGTATTGAAAGTTCAGTGTCTGCTGTGAACATCCTTTTATACCAAATGTTTAAAATCTTATACGGAACCATTGCTTTGAAAATTCATATTAGCACTATGACTCATTCTAAAAAGTAGGAATATCTGTCCCCAAAATTACACCGTGAACTAAAGACCTCTTGCTGAGTAGATTTTCAGTCTGATAAATCATGTTTGCAGACAGGTAGCACGCATGGAATGCTCCATCCATCTCTGTATTCTCCATATATTGCACTTTGATAAGAGAAGCATGCATATGTATAATGCACATATACATTTCTAACTACCTACTTAACAACAACAACAAATTACAGTTGTATAGCACTCTTCACATCGAAAAGACGTCCCAGAGTGTTGGACAGTCAGGGGCTTCTGGGCAAGAGCTGGGAGTTGGGGTCCGGGGGGGTGGAGGTAGGAAGGTGGCCAAAGGCACAGTCGAAGAGGAAGGTCTTCAGATGGGACTTGAAGGAGGCAAGCGAGTGGGTGAGGCGGAGGGATTGCGGGATGGAGTTCCAGAATGTGGGGGCAGAGATGCTGAATGCCCGACCGCCAATGGTGGGGTGGGAAGTGCGGGGAACCTGAAGCAGGCTGGTGTCCACCGAATGTAGGGTGCGGATAGGCTGATATAGGGCTATGAGATCGGAGAGGGAGCAAGACCGTGGAGGACTTTGCACTCGATTCTCTGAGGATGGGGAGCCAGTGAAGCCGAACAAGAACAGAGGTGATTGGTTCCCGGAGTCTGGTGCAGGAGAGGGCACGAGCTGCAGAGTTCGGAATAATCTGCAGTTTTTGAAGGGAAGGAATGGAGGGAAAATTTGGGAAATTCAGCAAGCAGGCAATTGGCGTAGTCAAGCTGGGACGTTATGAAAGCATGGAGTAAGTACTGACAGCCAATATACAAACATTCCTTTTATATTATTCGCTGTTAGGCATCAAGCTCCACCTCTGATACACGAACCTGCATGAAGGATGCTAAATAAATGCAAGTTGTTCTAAAATTACAATCCTTGAAAATGTTATACCCTTACTAGTTCCTGCGATGATTGAATAGAATATCATGGATCTAAGTTATTCTGGTATGTTGGAAGAAGCCAATTATTACCCCAGCAAAAGACAGGAGGAGGGGAGGAAATTGGTAAGAAAAGGTAAATGTAATAGTTTTTTTCCCCTTCTAAGGATGGCGCTATAAGGTTGATGTGTACTCAATTTGAGCGCCCGAATAATATTTAATCCTTGAGGCTATTAGGTTTTTATTGTTGCGTACAGTTAAATAATCCCAGTGCAAGAGACCGTTTCCAAAACCTTGCTGTAAAGAGCAAAGTTAAAGCACCAAAATTATGCAAAGAATGGTTAGAATTGGCGTGGGTTAGTAAAAGGTTCAAATGTTTCAGATATGAGAACTAGAAATTACATCTCATAATTTACAAATATTCCCCCCACCCCCGAAAATGTTATGCTTGTTACTAAATACATTTTCCAACAAGCTGTTATTGAGGTGTCTGGTTTCACTTGATGCAAGGTCAGAGGTAGGAATTTTGAATCTGCTCATTAATCTAGCAAGCAGTTTTCACAGAGGTGCAATCCTAGTTATCTTTGGCTGTACATCTAACAATTAATGACAATTGCATTTGTCTAATGCTAACTGAAAGGCTGGAGGCCAATTCTGAAAGAGCAGCTTTCAATTCTAAATGGTGGATCGGTTCTGCTCTCACTTTTTTAGAAATATCCCAGCTCTAGTAGCCTCCATTCTATTCAAATACAGAATTTACCATTTAGAAACATACAAAAAAAAGCATTGCTAAACAGATATGTACTGTTCTTGGCCCCTTTAAAGGCTTACAGTTTTTTTTGGCTTATTTGGCACAGAAATTGATGTTGCGGTATTCTTTCCAACACAACAACAAAATTACATTTGTATAGCGCTTTTCTTGCTGGGAGGACGTTCCCAGAGGCTGAAAATCAGTGTTTCGGACCTGAGCTGGGGGTCGGGATTGGGGAGGGTGGAAGGTGACTGAAGGCACAGTTGAAGAGGAAGCAAAGGAGGGGGCAAGGCGGAGGAACCGCGGGATGGAGTTCCAGAGGGTGGGAGCAGAGTGGTTGAAGGCCAATGGTGGGGTGGGCGAGGTAGGGAACATTAAGCAGGCCGGAGCCCGCTGAGCAGAGGGTGCGGACAAGTTGATAAGGGGTTAGCAGGTCGGAGAGGTAGGAGGGGACAAGGCCATGGAGGGCCTTGAAGGTGAGGATGAGAATTTTGAACTCGATCCTCTGAGGGATGGGGAGCCAGTGCAGCCGGGCGAGGGTGGGTGAGATGGGGTCATGGAGCCTGGTGCGGGAGAGGACATGGGTTGCAAAGTTCTGGATGATCTACAGGTTGTGAAGGGAAGAGTTGGGAAAGCCGGCAGAGCGGATCATGTCACGGATGTGAGTGAGTAAGGACAGTTGAGGGGCGAACAAGATGCCCAGGTTCCTGGCTGGCTTGGTGAGATGGAGTGTGCATCCGTGGATGCTGATGCTGCCAGTGCCTGAGGTGCGGAGGCGCTGGCGCGAGTCAATCAGGAGATCCTCAGTCTTGCTAACATTCAACAGGTGAATGTCAACAGGATGGGTTAATATGGTCAAAGAGCCTGTTGCGGGAGAGGATTTTTAAAGTTAAAGTACATGCAATTGTAAATAATTCCTGCATACTGGAAGTCGAGCAAACATTTGGGGAAAAGAGACTGATTTAAAATAGGAAAATATGGAACGTGTGAAGACAATTCAACCTATCAAGCTCACTCCTTCCAGACATAAATTCCCAGCACCTTAGAACAAACTTCCGACTTCAAAAGGTGCTATACAAATGTAATTTTGTATTGTATTGTAAATCTTGAGACAGAGAGAAAACAACATATATATGCTCATGATGACATATTTAGAGCAGCAATAATAATCCTTGCATTTGATATAGCGCTTTTCATGTCTTCTAGACGTCTCAAAGCGTTTCACAGAATATACTGTAAAGTTAATTGACTGTATATTTGTGGGCAAAACACAGCAGCCAATTGCACACAGCAGTGTCCCACAAACTGTCGTGGATTGAGAGATCAAATGATTATTTTTTTTAAGGAATTATTACTCCTGGAAATGTGATCCGCCAATCGACTAACAACCGGGTTCCTACTTGCTGCTAGAGGTGCGTGGAGTAAGGAAACTTGGCCAACATTTCGCCTTGCCGGGAATCGAACCCAGGTCTCTCGCTTGCGAGGTGAGTGCTCTAACCACTGAGCTACAGGACTCAGGACTCCATTCCAGAAGAGAGGTAGAGAGAGGTAGAGAGGAAGGAAGGGAGGGAGGGAGGGAGAGAGAGGGGGCAGGAAAGAGAGAAAGAGAGAGAGAGAGAGAGAGAAAGAAAGAAAGAAAGAAAGAAAGAAAGAAAGAAAGAAAGAAAGAAAGAAAGAAAGAAAGAAAGAAAGAAAGAAAGAAAGAAAGAAAGAAAGAAAGAAAGAAAGAAGGAAGGAAGGAAGGAAGGAAGGAAGGAAGGAAGGAAGGAAGGAAGGAAGGAAGGAAGGAAGGAAGGAAGGAAGGAAGGAAAGAGGAAACACAAACACTTACACATACATATATATATATATATATATACACAAGCAATATACACAAGCAAACATTCAGAAAGTGATAACGTAGATGAAGCTGGAGAAAGATTAATATGCATGTTGTCAAAATATCCCTTCCAGACCTTACCTGTATCGGACATTCTCAATGGTGTCATGTGTTAATTTGCTGCTAAGGTTTTCACTATGGGGGTTACCTGAGAAATGAAAGAAAATCAAACATAATATAATTCAGAGCTGACATTATTTTAAATTCTTTAAACCCAAAGATATGCTAAAATAAATCATTAGAATTATATGATAGAGCAGTGTCTAAAGTCTCAACAGAAAGTGACAAAACTGTAACATGATAGAATGACCTTCCAGCACCTAGATTTCCATCTCATCATGACATCTATCTATGTCTTGCTTTTAGTAATTATTGTCTGCTGCCAATGACAGCTGCGTACCAGGTTTGTCTGAGTGTCTGTGTTCGTGCTGCCAGTAATCTCTTACACAGAAAAGGCAGGATAGGTTTATAAAGATGTCCTAAGACTTTTTCATCTTTGTTTTGATAATTGTCATCGGATTTACAATTAGCTATTTTTAACTCCATTTCTACAATCTAAAATAATTAATGTAATAGTCGGTCAGCTTTCTGCCTCAGGCCATTCTTTGCGGGTCTTATTTTATTTTCCACATTATGAAGGGATATATAGTGAAATATTATTCCCCTTTATTGATAAATTGGTAACAAGAGGATATAAGATCAGGATTGGCACTGAAAAAATTAAAAGAGAAGTTAAAAGATATTCTTTTATTAGAGCCTGGATTGCCTTTCATAAGTAACGGGTGAGGCTTTGACCATGAGAACATAAAGAAGATTTGGATAAATGTTTGAAGAAGGGGAAAAAAGCAGGAAATGAGTGTAAGTAGTTTCATTGGAGCAGTTAGCTTGATGTTAACTGCTGCTTGATGTGTGAAATGGCTTCCTACTGTGCTGTAATTTCTGCAATTCTATTTTTACTAGTCTGTGATATTCAATCTAAGAATCTATCTTTTACAAGGTGCAACTAAAATTCAGCAGTCAAAATTTTTCTCTTGAAAATTTGAGTTAAACATATTTAACTAAAAAAAACAAGAAATGACTGAGAAGGTCTCACCATAGACATTGTCTGCAAGATCTTGGTAAAATCGCTGAAGTTGACTGTGTGCATAGAGCGTTGTACCTGCATGATCCAGATAAGTGATTCCTAAAAAACACATCAAAAGTTCACAATATTTCTCAGTTGCTGGATTGCTCAGTCTCAAAACAGAGAGGGCTGGGAGGGTAAGACTTGGAGAGTGGCCGAAAGTGCGGTCAGAGGGTCTTGAGATGTGCCTTGAAGGAGGTAAGGGAAGGGGCAAAGCGAAAGGATTGTGGAATTCCAAAGGGTGGCGACAGAAACCCAGACAGTTGAGCGTGGGGCAGACAGGGCAAGGGACATGAAGCCCGCTGAGCAGAGGTGGCGGACAGGTCGGTAAGGAGTAAGCAAGTCACAGAAGTAGGGAAGAGCAAGAAGACAAGGACGAGGATTTTGAACTCTATCCTCCGGAGCCAGAGGAACCAGGAGAGGGGTGATCGAATCACAGAGCTTGGTGCGAGAGAGGACACTTATCAGTTGGGAAGACCGATAAGCAGGGATGTAGCGTAATTGAGCCTCGATGCATGAATGAGAGAGGCAGTTGTGGAGCCGAGCAATACTGCGGAGGTGGAGGAAGGCAGAACGGCATGACAAACAGGTACGAATCCAGTAATAAACTAGAATAGCGGAAGTAACAGTAATCAACAGTTATATTTTGCTACTTTTTTAAGCTTTGATTTGCGTTTTTGACTTCAGGTTCCGCAAACTGCTCTCTAATGCAAGTGTCAATAATGGGAAATTATTTTCCAATCGAAAATTCCTTTCACTGGGTAACCAAGGCAATTCAACATTCCAAATGTTTGCTCAAACCAAATAGTGTTGGCTGACAAAATACAAATCCTGTACACTTTAGCATAAACCGTGTGAAACACTTAAAGATGTTCTCTCGACATAAAAATAATAATAATAATAATCCTTGCATTTGATAATAGCGCTTTTCACGTCGGGAGGACGTTCCAAAGCGCTTCACAGAACACACTGTAAAGTGAATTGACTGTATATTTGTGGGCGAACGCGGCAGCCAATTGCACACAGCAATGTCCCACAAACAGTCGTAGATTGAAAATTATCAATTTATTATTGTTCTGTTTTGGAGGGATTATTATTAGGCTCTGTGTGGAGTAAAGAAACTTGCCCAAGGTTTCGCCCTCTGCCTGGAATTGCACCCAGGTGTCTCGCTTGCAAAGCGAGTGCTCTAACCACTGAGCTACAGGACTCCACAGCAAAAATTGCTGTGTCAGATACAGAGTATAACGAAACAAAAACAGAAGTCGTTGGGAACACTCAGCAGGTCAGGCAACACCTATGGAGAAAGGAAAGTGAGTCAATGCTTCGGGTCCACGACTTGGGGCATGTTTGAAGGGAAGAGGCTTTTAAGGGCTAACAGAGATGGGGGAGGCAGGGCAAGGAAGACAAAGGAGAAAATGGGATAGGGGACAAGGGATGATGGGTTAAAGAGGTGTTAATGATGCAAACCAAATGGGGGGGCTGCAACAAAACAGAGGAATAGAGATGTTAATAATGCAAAAAAGGGTGGGGGGGAAATTGCAATAAAATAGGCAGACCAGAGAGAAAAGGTGTGTCTGGGACCAAGATGATGTGGGAATAGTCTCAGAAGAGGGGGAGGGGGAAGGTGAGCTGTTATGGCCTGAAATTGTTGAAATCAATATTGAGGCCAGAGGGCTGTGAGGTCCCGAGCAGATAAATGAGGGGCTGTTCCTCGAGCTTGCGCTGTGGCTCGTGGGAATAGCGTAGGAGACCGTGGATGGAGTGGGAGGGAGAGTTGAAGTGGCAAGAAACCGGAAGCTCAGGGTTGTGCTTGCGGAGAGAACAGAGGTGTTCGGCAAATCGGTCACCAAATCTGCGTTTGGTCTCCTCAGTGTAGAGGAGACCACATTGTGAGCAGCGAATGCACTAAACTACATTGGTGGTAGTACACGGAAATCGCTGTCTCACTTGAAATCTGTGTTTGGGGCCCTGGACAGTGGTATGGGAGCTGAAAGGGCAGGTATTGCATCTCCTGCACAGGCTCGCAAAATACTTCTAGCATCTGCTGTATTTCGCATTTTGACAAAGTATAATGATTATGGTTAGATTCCAGAAATAAGAGACAGTATTTACTACCTAAAAATAATCAAATCTTATTTATTCTTATTTTGATTAAAAATAAATCATGATTAACCAAATGTTATCCCCATGACGTTGTTCTGTAACAAACACTATTTACACTACCTTGCCAGACCAACTATACAAACCAAATAAAATAAAGTCAAAGTCTGAAGTTATATAAGTAAAATTACTCAAGTCTCATTGTGTGTGTGTGTGTGGGGGGGGGGGAAGAGTGGGGGAGGCAGCGGTAGGCTAAATTACACTACAATTGGGAAGAAATTCCACAGAGCTCTTCGGCTACTTTCTTAGCATTTCACAACACGCAGAATTTGACCTTTAATAAGTTACAGAAAACCAACTTCAAAGTTAAGTCTGCATATAGGAATCTGCCAAATTTTGCTGGTGGAATTTTATCCCTAATTATTGTCCGGTTTAGGATGTGCAGGGAGAGGAATATTTTCCAGGCCTTCCATTCTTGATTGCTATCCCATGACTCCCTTCCAGCGGGTGTAATTTGGTCTTTTCTCGTGCAACTGCAGAAGAATACCAAATTTTCATAAAGTCAACTATCCAGATATCCACAAAGTGAATGAGGGGCTGAGAGACACTGGGGGAAAAAAATCAGTTTTGTCATGCCTGCATATTATCAGTGATGCATTTTAGCCATGCAAGTAAACCGCAGCTTAGCAACCTTGTGTGTAAAAGAATAATTTGGCCACCCAATCCATGACTGTATGCGGGACACTGCTGGGTGCAATTGGCCGTCGAGTTTAACCCACAAAATATACAGTCAATTCACTTTACAGTATATTCTGTGAAGTGCTTTGAGACATCTCAATGACTTGATAAGGTGTTTTATCAAATGCTAGGATTATCATTATTGTGAACATGTACATAACTGGATTTATATTGCCAGTAGTGTGAAGGATACTTACTTTTGTAGTGTGGAGATAAGAGTCAGAGAAAGAGATACATTGTTATAGAGATAAAATTACAAAGAGTGAAAGAAAGAAAGCTTGAAAAACACAGACAAAAGCAGAGTGAGAAAGAGTTGGAGTCATAAAGAGAGGGGGGGCACAGAGCGCTACTGTAGTGGAACTTTTTACCCACGATGGGGTAAATCCAATTAGTGCAGCTCCAATTAGTGCAGATAATCATCAGGTCTCTACTGTATGAGGCAATGACAATTGGCTTTTATTGTTTCCCTCTCCCCACAATCAAGCTGAAAGTAGATCATTAATGTATAAAATTAAAATTTAAAATATAAAATTTATACTGAAACTTTAGGAATAAAATGGAAATTTATCACATGCAGTTCAGACATTTTCTTAGCCACTCTGTTACATAGGAACAGAGGAACAGGAGGAGGCCATGCAGCCCTTCGAGCCTGTTCCGCCATTTAATTAGATCATGGCTGATCTGTACCTCAACAAATCCTTTCAATTCTAATTTCCCGCTTTCTCCCCATATCCCTTAATACCTGACCTACCAAAAATCTATCAACCTCACTCTTGAAGGTGTGGATGGATCCAGCATCCACGGCCTTTTGGGGGAGAGAATTTTAAATTTTTCTTTTTTATATAAGTAGCTTACAATGTTCTTCAGAAACAGTACTGTACTTTATTTTAAAAAGTTATTCAGATCTTTATATTGCTGGCGAACACTTTATTCAGGTCGGGAAGGAAATCAGCTCCCTTTCTCAGGGGAAATTAACAGGCCAAAATTAAATGCTAATTAAATCTGTTCTCACAAATGATATTGAAGAGGCCAGTCAATCATTGTTTTCTTGTATTCTGTTTGCATGTTCTTGTACAAGGCACCAGGAGAAAAATGTAACTGCTCCTGTTTTGGAGTTGTACACATTATTATTTGATGCATTATACTGTATATTGGTCCACATGAATACTAATGAGGCCATAGTGTATGACTTAAGTAGATACGGGCTAGTTACCTCATTACAGCACCAGCTGACAGTCCTCGGTAGAAATGTGGTGCAAAACTATTTTTAGTTTCACTGGGAATAAGCATTCTTGCTCAACCTTTTTTTTTTGTTGAGAGGCATTTTCAGCACATTCTTCATCTGTTACTTTTAAAAATGTTGACACTATAAAAATTTAATCCAGATGTATCTGTCTCCACATGAATTAATGATTATTGGGTAGCCACTTAGAATATCAATCATTTGCTAATGATAATCACTTTGATGCTTTTCTTAATATACTTCATGCTTAAACATATATGTGTGAAGGTAAAATCATGTCTTCCTTGTGGAAGTGCTTTATATGGTTTGACCATGCCTTAGTTCCTTTGCCCTCCCCCCCACTCCCTCCAAATGGGGTGCTGATATATGGGGCACTGGATCGTGGGATAACGCCAAGAAGTATAAAATATCCGTGTATTTAAAAATGTTGTTGGGCTTCAATGGAATTTCTGAACAAGGCTGCATAGGATGTAAAGCATCGGGAGCCATTGACGGGGGCACTCAGGAAATGTCCTGATTACCTATGTAGCCTGTCCACCCCTGTGTGCTATTGTATTTAGCAGAGGCCTTTTGGAAATTTAACTACACTATGCCATATGGTTTCTCACTGGAAATTTATCATCTCAAAATGTCTCTGAGACTGGTCAGGCAGGATCGATCCCATGGAATGTATTAGTTTTCCAATTACCAAGCTCAGGCCAATACATCATCAATTGCCAGCTCAGTTCTATCAGACTCCTGGAATTTGGGAAACACATTTGGTTGTTTTCAGTTTTTCAAAATCTCTCCAGTGATCATTTACTCTATCGAAATGACCATCAGTGCTTCAAAAATCTCGCCTGTTGTCTGTTATCCTGGGGTGTAGTTCACCATCCTGAGAAAATGGTCTTATTTTAGCTGAAATCTCTGCCTTGATAATGTCAAACTCTCAGAACTCGTATAGTGTCTTTGGATGTTGGACAGTAAATTGGTAGTGTTC